AAGAAGAAGAAGAAGAAGAAGAAGAAGAAGAAGAAGAAGAAGAAGAAGAAGAAGAAGAAGAAGAAGAAGAAGAAGAAGACTAATAATAATCAGTGGTCTTAACCTTCCTGATGATGCTGCAACCCTTTCATACAGTTCCTCATGTTGTGGTGACCCCACCACCACCACCACAAAACTATTTCTTTGCTACTTCATCACTGCATTTTTGCTACTATTATGAATCATAATGTAAATATCTCTGCTTTCTGATGTTTCAGGGGGTCAGGGCCCACAGGCTGAGAACCACTGCCTTAAACACCTGAAATTTTGTTTAAAAGACTGTTTCCAGCAGGCGCCATGGTGGTGTGCGTAGCAATCCTGGCACTCAAGAGACCGAGACAGAAGGTTAACATGCTCCGTACTAGACTGGATGGCACAGTAAATTCCACTTTGTGCCATGTAACAAGACACTATCTTATATAATAATTATGACAATATCTTCAAAACAAGCATGCAAATTTCCAAGAACCAGTTTTCAAGTGTGACTCTAAAAATGAGACAAATATGGTTAAACCTTTACCAGAATTCAGGCATGGAAATGGATTTCCCCTTGAAGTGTCACCCTGGACACAGACCAATATCAAAATCTTTCTAGGGGCATTTTTAGAACTCTCCCTTTGCAGTCAGTTCCTAAATTGCATGTGTGAGAGATCTTCCAGGACTGTTCAGTTTTGCTACAAAAAAAAAAAAAAAAAAGCTCTTATCCAACTTGGTCATCTACCTAATTTATCATTGTTGACTCTTGGTGACATTGGCAATTCACAACGTTAAATCTACCCCCAAAGAATGAAGACATTCAAATAAATAAATGATATTTTTGATGCCTCAAAACCTTTTCATTTTCATCATAGGAAACACAGTGGGCAATTATCAAATGTAATACTAGTAAAACCATTTAAACACTGCTTATGAGAATGTATGCTGCCCTTATTAATTATGAAAATCTACTAAGGAAAGCTCTCGTCATCAGCAGAAAGTCTTATAATGGGACACTGACTTTTTTTGAAATAACGATAGATTCACAAGAAGTTGAAAAAAGAGTCCACTGTGTTCCCTGTGCCCTTCAGCCAACTTTCCCCAATGGTGACTTAGCATGCAGCTGTAGTGCAATGGCAAATCCAGGACATTAGTGTTTGCACAGCACTATTAAGGACCTTGTATATTTTACTCATTTTCTGTGCGTTCATATGAGGAGTTAGTTCTGCACAGCTATAGCAGATTGATTGAGACTGGACAACTTATAAAGAGCAGTTTCTCAGAGTTCTAGAGACTGGGAAGTCCAAGTACTAGGTGCCAGGATATGCAGGATATGGTAATGACCCTCCTCCTCCTCCTCCTCCTCCTCCTCCTCTTTTGGGTGTTTTGAGACAGAGTCCATAATTCTGTAGCCCAAGATGGCTTTGAACTTACAACAGTTCGTGTGTCCCAACCTCCCAAGCACTAAGACTAGAGCACAGGAAAGCATGAGCCTGGCTGGCAAGGCTTTCTTGCTGCATTCTCACATGGTGGAAGAAAGGCAAGAAGGGATGAGTCTCTGTTCTCACGAGACCCTGTCACCAGCCCTTTTTTCACAGTGAACGTAGTGGGCAGACAGGGCTTTCCACTGAGCTCTACCTCCCAACATTCCTGCACTGGAGGTGAAGATTCCAATGCATGTGTGAGTGTGTGTGTGTGTGTGTGTGTGTGTGTGTGTGTGTGTGTGTGTGTGTGTGTGTGTGTGTGAGAGAGAGAGAGAGACTCACTATATGCAACGTGACCCTGTGTGTGTGTGTGTGTGTGTGTGTGTGTGTGTGTGTATTCATGCGGCAGCCCCCAAATTAAGGTGCAGAACTTTCCCGTCACCAGGAAACCCCTCCTTCCTACCCTTTCCTTTCCCACTCATACCTTCTCCTCCTCCCTGTTTCTTGGCATAACTAATCCGTTCTTGTCTCTGTGGTCTTGTCATTCCAAATCAGGCTGGAGAGATGGTTCATCGGTTAAGAGCACGTGCTACTCTTCTAGAAGACCCAGGTTCAATTCCCAGCACCTACATGACAGCTCAAAACTGTAACTCCAGTCCCAGGGAATCTGATGCCCTCTTCTGGCCTCTGTGGGCATTAGACGCACATAATGGTACACAGACACACATGCGGGCAAAACACCAATACACGTTAAATACACTTAATAAACAATTTTTAAAGAATGTTGAATGAATGGAATCATGCAGTACCTTACTTTTCCAGATTCAAAGGCACAGTGACTTTGAAGCCGGGTTTGTCAAGTTCGTGGTGCATTCCTTGTTATGTATATTGCTTTGTATGAATAGTCTAGTTTTTACCCATTACATGACTAGGATATTTGTTTTTCTTTCTCTTTCCCTTTTCCTTTCTTTATTTCACAAATGACTCTTCTATGGGCGTTTGCATGCATGTCTTTCTATAAACATAAATTCTCATTTCTCTGGTATAGAGGCCCTAGTCGAGTGTAATTGCCGGATAGTGTGGTAAGTGCATTTTTAGTTTTACAATCTTTGAGGGTGACTTTACACTCACACCAGTAACATGCAAAAGATTAGAGTCTCAGCATCCACAGTATTTGAATAGTGCTGCTATTTTTATTTTATACAGTTTTTTTTAACAGTGTGGGGTGGGGTGGGGGTTGGGGGTGTGCACATGTGGCCTCATGTGGAGGTCCAAGTACAGCCTGTGGGAGTCAGTTCTTTCCTCACACCACGTGGGTCCTGGGGCTTTAGCTCCAGTCATCAGCCTCAATGGCAAACATCTTTATAAACTGGGCAATCTTTCTTGAGGACTGGAGAGATAGCTCCGCAGTTAAGAACATTGGCTGCTCTTCCAGAGGACTCAGGTTCAGTTCCCAGCACCCACATGGCAGCAGTCTGTAACTCCAGTTCCAGGGGATCCAACACACTCACATAGACATACATGCAGGTAAAACAGCCGCAATGCTCATAAAATAAAAATAAATAAATTTTTAGAAAAATAAAAATAAACTGAGCGATCTTACTGGCTCTTGCTCTATTTTGAAATGAGCGATTCATCTTATTTGTCTGATATTATGATAACGCAGTGTAGTTATCTTACTCTTGTGCCCATGCTGCCTTCCTTAGTGTGAACTCTGTGCCTTATCATAGGTTTACATT